TCCTCATCATCCTCATACCTCCTCATCCTCCTACCTCACTCATCCCTTCACCTTCCTCCGAGCCTCCTCTCTCCTCACCGTCCCTCCCTCATCCCTCCCTCCTCATCCAGCTACACAACCCTAACCTCCTCATCCTCTTACCTCCTCATCCTCCCAGCTACACAACCCTAACCTCCTCATCCTCCGAGCTTCCTCATCAACCCTCATCCTCCTAATATCTCCTGCTCAACCCTCGTCGTCACCCACCCTGCAGCCGCTACAGCAGCAGCAGAAGCCGCCGGGTGAGTGGTGCTGGAGCCTAGGAGAGTGAGGATGGCATCACCATCACTAACATCACCTCAACCATCATCACCATCACTAACATCACCTCAACAACCATCACTAACATCACTAACATCACCTCAACAACCATCACTAACATCACCTCAACAATCATCGCCATCACTAACATCACCTCAACCATCATCACCATCACTAACGTCACCTCAACCATCATCACCATCACTAACATCACCACAACCATCATCACCATCACTAACATCACCTCAACCATCATCACCATCACTAACTTCACCTCAACCATCATCACCATCACTAACTTCACCTCAACCATCATCACCATCACCTCAACAATCATTACCATCACTAACATCACCTCAACCATCCTCGCCATCACTAACATCACCACAACCATCATCACCATCACTAACATCACCACAACCATCATCACCATCACTAACATCACCTCAACCATCCTCGCCATCACTAACATCACCACAACCATCATCACCATCACTAACGTCACCTCAACCATCATCACCATCACTAACATCACCTCAACCATCATCACCATCACTAACATCACCACAACCATCATCACCATCACTAACATCACCTCAACCATCATCACCATCACTAACGTCACCTCAACCATCATCACCATCACTAACATCACCACAACCATCATCACCATCACTAACGTCACCTCAACCATCATCACCATCACTAACGTCACCTCAACCATCATCACCATCACTAACGTCACCTCAACCATCATCACCATCACTAACGTCACCTCAACCATCATCACCATCACTAACATCACCTCAACCATCCTCGCCATCACTAACATCACCACAACCATCATCACCATCACTAACGTCACCTCAACCATCATCACCATCACTAACATCACCTCAACACCATCATCACCATCACTAACATCACCTCAACCATCCTCGCCATCACTAACGTCACCTCAACCATCATCACCATCACTAACGTCACCTCAACCATCATCACCATCACTAACATCACCACAACCATCATCACCATCACTAACGTCACCTCAACCATCATCACCATCACTAACATCACCACAACCATCATCACCATCACTAACGTCACCTCAACCATCATCCCCATCACTAACGTCACCTCAACCATCATCACCATCACTAACATCACCTCAACACCATCACTATTCTCACCATCACTAACATCACCTCAACAATCATCACCATTCTTTCACGCCATCACCGTCATTAATAACATTAACTTCATCATCGTCATCACAATTACCACCATCGTTGTTAACACCGTTACCTACACCATCATCACTACCACAATCACCACCACCACCACCATCGTCTTCATCACCATTAACCACCATTGTTGTTAACACCGTTACCCACACCATCATCACCATCCTCACCACCACCATCATCTTCATCACCATTACCACCATCGTTGTTAACACCGTTACCTACACCATCATCACTACCACAATCACCACCATCACCACCACCACCATCGTCTTCATCACCATTAACCACCATCGTTGTTAACACCGTTACCCACACCATCATCACCATCCTCACCACCACCATCATCTTCATCACCATTACCACCATCAACACCAACGTTATCTCTCTCCACCATCACCATCCTCAATAATATAAACCTCCACCGCCGTCATCACCACCATCACCACCATCCTCACTAACGTCACCCCCACCATCATCAGCTACACGATGGTTATCCGTGTCATCAGCATCCCGGCCTGGTAATTCTCGTCAGAATCGTCTTTGTTTTTACCATCATCACCGTCATCACCAACATCATCACCATCATCATCACCGCTACCATCATCACCACCATCACCACCGCCATCATCATCATCACCACCACCATCATCATCAACACCATCACCACCATCATCACAACCACCACCATCACCACCGCCATCACCACCACCACCACCATCATCACCATCATCATCACCACCGCCACCATCATCACCACCACCATCATCATCATCACCACCACCATCATCATCATCAACACCACCATCATCACCACCATCACCACCATCATCACAACCACCACCATCACCACCGCCATCACCACCACCATCATCATCATCACCACCGCCACCATCATCACCACCACCATCATCACCATCACAGAACCATTCAAACTCGGCCCAGACACCAACACCAATCGCCGTGTGATGAACGTTCATCTCTAATTAATTGCTGTGTACTCTTCCACAGTCCTCAAAACACATTGTTATCACTGCCCGACAGCAAGCACTTCTGTGATGACATGCAGTACACGATACAGCATCGCCACGACGGCACTATCACGGTCGACGGGACACGCTGTAGTGATGTGTGTATACTACACTCTAGACAGTCTCACTATTGCAGTACTGTATTGTGGTACCATAATATCATATCTGTCAACCCCTTATCAGTGCCTTGTCACAGACCCAATTCAGACCGGATTGGTCAAACCAGATTGGTCACCCCGTACCCCTCGTGAATCTCAACGTTCATTCCTACAAAGTTGTTTGACTTGCATCCCACTGGGATTTTTGTACAGAGCGTTGGTGTACGGTGTTTTTTCTACAATATTTTGCTGTCTTTTCTTGAATTTTCTGTTTGCACTTAGTCACATATTCACTTTAAGATGTTTTTTGTTCATGTTTTAGTTTTTTGTTTGTTGCGGTTGCACCCGATTCAAGAGCTGAATGGCTCACAGGGGTATACCTAATACATGAACTTGAACGAAAGAGAAACAAACAAATAGTATATTCTTAGTTCTTTCGGCAAAGTCACGTAGAAGGAAAAAAAAATAAAAAAATTCTCACGACGTTTCGATTGCAACACAAGCAATCAAACAAATAGACAAAAAAATATTTATTTTTATGCTGTATTGAAACGGCCGTACGCCATATGGACCTGAAAACTCAATTTCCCTGCACAAGAATAACAGGGTAACCCGTATGAGTTGACGGCTATGCAATTGGCGTTGTATCGCAGAGTTAGCAATTGGGGGAGGAGTGGGGGGTTTGGTGGTGATGGGGGAGAGACTTGGGGTGGAACCTGAGCTCTCGCGTCTCCCCTTCTGGAGTAATAAACCCCCCAACTCTGAGGTCTTCCTCTTCACGTCCGCCGTGTCATTGCAGGGCTACGTTGGCGCGACACATCGTCGTTGTGAAAGACCCAACGCAGAAGGTCCCTGGGGTTTTATCTTCCACGAAGCTGCTCATTGTCCACTCTAATTCGCAGCCGTTGCACAAACCACGGCAGCAGATGGGGAAACCTGATGGACAAATGTAAAATGTAAAAACTCTCAAGACCGTACACCGTGTCACGACCAAATGCCCCGATCCACAACTACGAAGGAGACATCACAGCGACGATACACTCCGCTGCTCCTGGTAACGCGGTTGTCTGCCTTTACCACCCAAATGTGAAATTATAGTTGTTGCTCTGCATCTACATCAGCCGTACGACAAGAAGAAGATTGGTGCGACACGTGGGAGGACACGTGGGTCACTTGGGAGGTCACGTGGGAGGTCACGCGGGAGGTCACGTGGGAGAACACGCGGGTGAACACGTGGGTCACATGGGAGGACACAGGTCACACGGGAGGTCACACGGGAGGTCACGCAGGAGGACACGCGTGTCACACGGGACACCCGCTACATGCGTCGCTCCATTACCGCCACCTGTCCTCCACGCAGGGCGCCATTGTCTCCCCCCAGTGCCAATGTTTACACCCTCAAACGCGGAGCTCGATTAAGGCTGAGTCAACCTGGGGGCAACTCTTGACAGTTCTTTTTTCACGAGATGCTCTGAACTCTTGTTCGACAGCCCCGGTGTGTAGCTACAAGGTAAGGGCCGTGTTTCTGAGTCACGTCTTCAGGTAGCCAACGTGCGCTCCCTGCCGCCGGTTGAACTCGGAGCACAGAGACAGCTGGCGGGGCACGGGGGAGTGCTGGCAGCCACCGGGGGTGGGTGGCCTCCCAAGTGGTCCGGTCCGTCCGTTCACAAGACCGGCAAGTGGCATCGCCGCAGTAGCGTGTGCGCTGTTGCACGCTTGGCCACGTGCGGTGCATACTGCTTGTGCACCGTGTGTGTGTACTGCACGTGTACTGCGTATGTGTACTGCGTATGTTTACTGTGCATGCGTACTGTGCGTGCGTACTGTGCGTGTGTACTGTGTGTGCGTGCGTACTGCGCGTGTTACTATCCACGCCGACGCTCGCGTGCCGTGTGTTTTGTCCGTTGATTCTCAACCCCAGGGACGGTGAAGCCGGCGACGCTGTTCCCTTAAGCTTCGTCGTCGCGCTCCTCTCCCTGCTGGGATGAGCGACGCTGAGCTCCGTGCCAAGAGCGGCGGCCCTCCACCGATGTCGAACTCGGGTCGCGAGGAGCGCATAAATAATAATGATAATGTCAGCTGTGTAAACGCGACGACCCTGTTGGGTGGTGGAGGGGTCGAAGACAAGAATGTTTTTTATTAATCGACAACCACAACAACAATAAACGTAAAGTACCATGAACATTCCCCAAATGTCAAAGCACTCGATTTCTTAACACCGATGCACCCTGGCGTTAACGATCAATCACCAGCACCACCCACTCAATGCCCACCCACCCCACCCCTGTTCACAGGCGCATTTGCATAACTACATCGTCAAAGCCACCCAGCCACTAGCCCCGTGCAGCTAGCACTCCATTTGCCATGTCTTAACATCAGCCCCGCCCTCTGCTCCGGTAGCGAACCTACATCACTGCCCATGTAAAGAGTTGAGGACGAACCCACAAGATGTTACACCCAGCGCTAAACTCCACATTCTCACAAAAGCAACAGGCGGTGGGGAGAGGGCATGCGGGTGGATATGGGACACTGTCATTATGAACCCTTGAGCAGGCATCACCATCATTGTGACCAACACCACCCTCAACCATTGTCACCATCGCCACGGTGAGCGGGTCAGCAGGCATGCACCAGTGGGGCCCCCAGCGGGCCCTCTTCCTCTGCGACCCCGTGCCCCTCGTCCTCGGGCCCGAGCGCGCTGACCACGCGGTGCCAGAAGAGCTTGCAGGCACCCTCCGACCCCGCGGGGGCCACCGAGCGGCCCCGCCAGCCCCGCCGGGCGAACGAGTCTCCCCGGGCGCCGGGCCAGGTGATGTAGGTTCGCGAGCGGATGGTGCGGCGCATGCGGAGGTAGGCGGACAGCTCGTTGTGAGGGATGCGCTCGAGGAAGAGGAGCACAAGGACGTCCTGGTTCTCCTCGAAGAGACGGAACGCCGCCACCTGCACGAGAGGCAGCATCAGCGTCACTCCAGTGGGAAACAGCGACAATCGTCACCCCAGCTGCCACTGGGGACCCGCTAGGCTAGACCTATGACAATCATCTCCACCGCGCCCACTGGCAGTAGACTAATGCCCGCTCGTATGCCGGGTGCTGAGTCGCACTGCGCCGCACAGGGACAGCTGCCACCGTGGGTGCCCCTAGGCTAGATCAAAACGGTCATCGCCCTCTACTGGCAGTAGTCAAATTCCCGCTCCCATGCCAGGTGCTGACCAGAGGTCGCAAACGGGTTTTGATTCCTTACCCGTACCCGGCCGCATCAGGGTCGTAAACGGGTACCAGTACCCTACCCGATACCCGGCTACCCGTACCCGGCCGGGTATCGGGTAGGGTACAGGTACGGGTACCCGATTGCGACCTTTGGGATGAAGCCATGTTGCAGGCGCGGGTGGGTTGATTCTAGGAACTTGAATTGTGAGAAGAGACAAGACGTTGGGAAATGAGTGACAAACGGTTACTCACCAGTGACTCACGTTCTACCCGTACCCGCACCAGGGTCGCAAACGGGTGCCCGTACCCGGCCGGGTATGGGTAGCCGGGTATCGGGTAGGGTACGGGTATCGGGTACCCGGTTGCGACCTGTGGTGCTGCAGAGTCACGCTCTGCAGCACTGGGACAGCTGCCACTTGAGGCGTTTCCTTCAAATGTGGGGGCTCTATGAGACGCAGCGGAAGTGGCGTCGTCGGAGTCCCTGCTGCAGAATCGAGCCACATTGAGGTATCGGTGCTCATCTCCCGCTTGCAGCCCTGCAGAGCGGGTGGTGGAAATTCAACATTCCTATGGTAGAGCCCATGGATGGGTGTGTGGTGATGTTTGGTGGGTGGTGGTGATCGTGTTGAGTGGATTGGGTGTTGGTGATGGTGGTGACGGGTGGTGGTGGTGAGTGGGCATTCGGGCGGGTGGGTTGTTAGCGGGTGGGTGGCGGTGTTTGGTGGAAGTTGGTGATGAGTGTGCGGGTGGTGGTGGGCGGTGGTTGCCGTCCATGGAGTGCCGCGACCGGCGACGTCGCCATTGCGCGCGTACCTGCAGCTCCTTGGAGCACCACTCGCTGCGCAGGTAGCTCCGCGTCACGATGCACAGCATGCGCCGGCTCGCGTAGATGCCATCCATGATGTTCTCCACGATGTCCTTGCCCGGCACGAAGTCGCGGTGGTGCAGACAGAGGCGCATGCCGGCGCCCTCGAGCTGCGGTAGCAGCTGGCGCATGACCCACTCCTCGTCGTCGCTGTTGTAGGACACGAACGCGTCGTAGCGTATCGGGCCGCCGGGCGGCCGCGTGCGCCTCTTGTGCTCCCCAAACCACGCGGCGAGCAGGTGGTACCCGTAGAGCAGGTGCCAGCGCCAGAACCTGAAGACGGTGGCAGCGAGCATGACGAGTGCGACGGCGCACGAGCAGCAGGCGAAGAGCAGCGGCCCGGAGCGGTTGCGGCACTGGCTCGCGTCAAAACGCACGAAGAGCTCGCCGCGCCTGGACAGCGGGAACCCGCAATGGACGCGCCACAGCCCCGGCGCTTGCACGTGGCTCGAGTTGAGCAGGAAGTCGCGCAGCCACTCGTTGTCACAGCCGCAGGAGAGGGGATTGCCCACGACATCGAGCAGCTGCAGGCGCGGCAGCGCCCCGAGGTCGGCGGCGGACGCCTCGCCGATGCGGTTGTTGCTCACGCGCAGCACCCGCAGGAGGCTCAGGTTGAGCCGGGACAGGAAGGTGACGTCGTCCAGGCGGACGCTGCGCAGGTGCAGCTCGTCGAGGAGCGGCACTGGCCGCAGCAGCGCCGGCTCCACGCCGCACAGCGGGTTGGAGCCCAAGTCCAGGTAGCGCAGGTTGGGCGTCGGCAGGAACGTGCCGGCGTCCAGCGCCGACAGGTAGAGCTGCCCGGCGTGGAGCTCTTGCAGGGTGGCCAGGCCCTCCAGGAAGTTGGATGGGAAGTTGACCATGCCGTCTTTGCGCTGGCTGTTGAGGAAGAGGTGGGTGAGGCTGCGGAGGGGCGCGAACGGCGGGCTGCGGACAGCGCCCGCGGACGCGTAGTGCAGGTAGTTGTTGTTGAACTCCAGGTTCGTGAGGTTGACGAGGCCCTCGAACGCCCGCGGCCGCAGGGGCCGCAGGCCCAGCTTGTTGCCGCCCAGGTCGAGGCGGCCCAGGGCGGCGAGGCCGTCGAACGCGCCGTCCTCCGCCTCCGCGATCTGGTTGTCGGCGACGTTGAGCAACAGGAGCGAGGTGAGGTTGGCGAAGTTTCCCGCCGGCAGCTTGGACAGGTAATTGCTGCGCAGGTCGAGGGCCTCCAGGAGGCCCAGGTCCTCGGGGAAGATGCCGGCCACGCTCATGAGCCGATTGGCGGACATGAGCAGGTGCCGGAGGCGACGGGGACCACGCAGGAAGCCCGAGGACACCTCGGTGATTTGGTTCTTGGAAAGGTTCAGGGTATTCAGTTCCAGCAGCCACCGGAGGTCACCGGCTTGGAGCAAGGAGATCGAATTGGAGCCGAGGTCCAAGGTGACAACACCGCTGCCGCCGCTCCTGACACTGACGTTAGCATTCGCGGCGTCGCAGCTACCAGCGCCGCCGACGTCGCCAACGGCGTTGTCACTGTCGCCGCCGATGAGGACGTTGGCAGCGGTGAGTCCGGGGGCGGGCAGCGGGGGGGCAAACGCGGAGGCAGGGAACGTGGAGAGGCTGTTGGCGCCCAGGTAGACCTCGCGCAGCGCCGGTAGCCCACCCAGCGCCCCGTGCTCGACCTCCTCCATGCCATTGCTCTGGAGGTACACCATGCACAACCTTGAGCAGCCCTGCGAGATGGTGACAGTCGGTCAGAAGCTTGGGATTATGATGGTGGTGGGGGGTGGTGGTGAGGGTGGTGGCGGAGTTGATGGTAGTGGAGATGATGGTGGGGGTGAGGGGTGGTGGAGATGATGGTGGTGGTGGTGATGGTGATGGAGATGATGGTGGTGATGGTGGTGGAGGTGGTGGTGGAGATGATGATGGTGGGGGTATGACGGGTGGTGGAGATGATGGTGGTGGTGTTTGTGGTAGAGATGATGGTGGTTGTGGTGATGGTGGGGGTGAGGTAGGTGGTGGTGGTTGAGATGATGGTGGGGGCGAGGGTGGTGCAAGCCGTTCCGGCAACACGTGCCTGGCGCGCCGGAGGAGGGCCTGCTGGGAGGGGGCTGCTGGGGGGGGACCCGCTGCTGTAGGTCTACTGGCCCACTCCCGGTGGTGGTGGTGGTGATGGTGATGGCGACGATGGTGGCAATGCGACCGAACAAACATCGGGGGAGCCACCGAGTGGACGGCTCACCCCCCCACATTGAGACGCCGCCGCCGCGAGCTGTGGTAAGAAGAAGAGGAGGAAGAAGAAAGCCATTTTTACCCTGAAGGTGCCGTTGCCCAGCCTCGTGAGCCCGTTGCCTCTGAGCGAGAGCGAGCGCAGGCCCGGGAACGCGGCGCACAGCTTCGACACCACCGCCGCCGTCAGCCACGCGCCCATCGCGTTGCCGTCCAACTCCACGGCGTGCAGGTCGACGCCGCTAAGGCTCTGCATGAAGCCCACGGCCATGCCCTCGATGGCCGCCGCCGTTCCATGGCCGAGGCCCAGCAAGCGGAGGCCGCCGAGGCGCTGCGGGTCAGTCAGCGGCACGAGGACGACGCGGGGCCGCGCCAGGCAGCGGTGGAGCAGCAGCGCGCTGAGGTTGCGCGCCGACGCGTCCGTGAAGTTCACGAGCGCCAGCGGGTTGCCCGACACGTCCAGGAGTCTCAGCGACGGGGGCAGCGGCGGCGGCCGCGCGCCGCCGCCACCGCCGCCGACGATCAGCGAGGGCAGAAGGTTGTCGGCGAGGAGGAGGTCGCGCAGGATCGGGCAGCAGGAGGCGAAGGGCAGCGTGGCCGCGTCGAGGGAGGTCAGCGAGTTGCCGCTGAGGTTGACCGACACGAGCGAGGGGAGGTCGGAGAAGGCGGTCGCCGATATGGAAGTGATGCGGTTGTAGTCCAGGCGCAGGTACTGGTGTAGCGGGAGGGGGGGGAGAGAGGAACCATTGGGATGATGATTATGATTGCGTAGTCTCAAGACACTTCTTTCAGGAGGGGTCCTGCCAGGTTTTTTTTGCAGTGGAGGGGGGGGGGTGACGTTGCCGTTGCTGCTGATATGTGGTGATCACGGTGCCTAGGAGATGTTAACTACCTCGCCTGGTATGCAGGAGGTCGTGGGTTCGATCCCGACCCTAACGCCTGCTGTATATTTGGAGTTTGCCTGTCTCTCTCCGTGGTGAGATGTTAACTCCCTCGCCTGGTCTACAGGAGGTCCTGGGTTTGATCCCGACCCTGACGCCTGCTGCTGTATATTTGGAGTCTGCGTGTGTCTCTCTCCGTGGTGAGATGTTAACTACCTCGCCTGGTCTACAGGAGGTCGTGGGTTCGACCCTGACTCTGACCCCCACTGTATATTTGGCGCTGTATATTTGGAGTTTGCGTGTCTCTCCCCGTGATCGCGTGGATTTGTATCGGGGTCCTCCGGGTTTTCCCTCCACATCACGCTCTAAGATGTATTTTGGCTTGCCATAAACATCCACGTGGTGAAAATCCACTTCGTTGAGCTGTCATTTGTGATAGCCAGCTCGCTTCTGACAAAAGAGCTACATGGCTCAGCGTGTCGTACCTGCTAAAGTAAAATATGTTTTAGTTTATTATACAGTTTGAAGGGGTTTCATCAGTATTAGCGATATGATTTTGGCCGATACCAGTTCCACAGTGGGGTTGGGTTTAGCTATGGGAGGATACTGGAGCACCCAGAGGAAACCCATGGGGGAGAACATACAAACTCCACACTCGCTCACAAAGACAAAGATCCCCCGTATAGCCTGGGCAGATTGCTGGGGTCAAGTGCTGCTAGCGAACAGCACCTATGAAGGCCGATACAGCACACGAGGGGGTTGTGCTGCCAGCACCACGACCGGGCCGCCTTTGTCTCACCGGTGGCGATGTTTACTACACACCGCACCAGGTACTAATTTGAGGCCGAGTCTACCTAGGGGAGGCCCAGGACCGGTTCGGATAATCGTCACCGGTGTTGGCCGTGAGCGGGGATCGAACTCGGGTCGCTGGGTTCGTTGTGCAGTGGAGCGCTAATTGCTACCATATACATATATTCAGTACATCCCACAATCACTCGTATCTCTTCTACCATAGGGGCCGTCCATAAATGACGTCACGCACCTAGGATGGGGGGGTCAGACATTTGTGACGATGTGTGACGAGGGGGTTGAGAAATGTGACGTCACATCAAAATGCGCAACTTTAAATCAATATAGAATTGTTATAACAACACTGTTATGACAACACTCCTACAACATCAGAGTGCAGCGCCACATTAAATACGCACTACAATGACAATAGTTTAAAGCGATTTGAAGCATGTTTTTAAAAAATTTGGGGGGGGGGGGCAGAGATTTGTGACGTCATATTTGAGGGGGGGTCTGACTGTGACGAGGGGGGGTGGGGGTCAAAAATCGTCCAAAATCGCGTGATGACATTTAAGGACGGCCCCATAGCTACCCTAATCATGAACTTCACTCTTTGATGACCTCACTCACGGTGAGGGCTCTGACACTGTTCAACCACCAACAACTGCAGGTCACAGCAACAACAAGGCAAAGATCCCCCGAATAGCCTTCAACAAACTGTCGGGGCAAGTGCTGCTGGGACAGCCCCAGGTGTTACGGGTTGACTGCTGTGCCAGGCTAAGTGCAGGAGGAGGTCACGGGACAGACCCCGGTGTTTTGTGTTGACTGGCAGATGCACCCCTTGCGCTCCTCATTCTACCACTATCACCATCACCACCTCTACCACCATCAACATCACAATCATCACCACCATCACAACCTCTACCACTATCACAATCATCACCACCTCTACCACCATCACCATCACAATCATCACCACCATCACAACCTCTACCACTATCACCATCACCATCACCACCTCTACCACCATCAACATCACAATCATCACCACCATCACAACCTCTACCACTATCACAATCATCACCACCTCTACCACCATCACCATCACAATCATCACCACCATCACAACCTCTACCACTATCACCATCACATTCATCACAACCTCTACCACCAACATCATCACAATCATCACCACCATCACAACCTCTACCACTATCACCATCACAATCATCACAACCTCTACCACCATCAACATCACAATCATCACCACCGCCATCAACCACCATCATCATCACCACCATCACCACCTCTACCACTATCAACATAACAATCATCACCACCATCACCACCTCTACCACCATCAACATCACAATCATCACCACCTCTACCACCATCACAATTATAATCATCACCACCATCACAATCATCACCACCATCACCACCTCTACCACCATCACAATAATCACCACCATCACCACCTCTACCACCATCACCATTATAATCATCACCACCATCACAATCATCACCACCATCACCACCCCTATCACCATCACAATCATCACCATCATCACCATCACATCCCCTCCCGCCCCACACCCCTCCCCCCCCCCCCCCAGTGACCCCCCACACCCCCTCCCCCCCCACACACCTCCCCCCCCAGTGACCCCCCACACTCCCCCCCCCCAGTGACCCCCCCACACCCCTCCCCCCCAGTGACCCCCCCACACCCCTCCCCCCCAGTGACCCCCCCACACCCCTCCCCCCCCAGTGACCCCCCCACACCCCCTCCCCCCAGTGACCCCCCCACACCCCCTCCCCCCCAGTGACCCCCCCCACCCCTCCCCCCCAGTGACCCCCCCACACCCCTCCCCCCCCAGTGACCCCCCCACACCCCCTCCCCCCAGTGACCCCCCCACACCCCCTCCCCCCCAGTGACCCCCCCCACCCCTCCCCCCCAGTGACCCCCCTACACCCCTCCCCCCCAGTGACCCCCCCACACCCCCTCCCCCCAGTGACCCCCCCACACCCCCTCCCCCCCAGTGACCCCCCACACCCCCTCCCCCCCAGTGACCCCCCACACCCCCTCCCCCCCAGTGACCCCCTCACACCCCCTCCCCCCCAGTGACCCCCCCACACCCCCTCCCCCCCAGTGACCCCCCACACCCCCTCCCCCCCAGTGACCCCCCACACCCCCCTCCCCCCCAGTGACCCCCCACACCCCCTCCCCCCCAGTGACCCCCTCACACCCCCTCCCCCCCAGTGACCCCCCCACACCCCCCCCCAGTGACCCCCCACACTCCCCCCCCCCCACACCCCCTCCCCCCCAGTGACCCCCCCACACCCCCTCCCCCCCAGTGACCCCCCCCACCCCCTCCCCCTCAGTGACCCCCTCACACCCCCTCCCCAGTGACCCCCCACACTCCCCCCCCCCAGTGACCCCCCACACTCCCCCCACACTCCCCCCCCCCACACCCCCTCCCCCCCAGTGACCCCCCCCACCCCTCCCCCCTAGTGACCCCCCCACACCCCCCCCCCCAGTGACCCCCCACACTCCCCCCCCCCAGTGACCCCCCACACTCCCCCCCCTCACACCCCCTCCCCCCCAGTGACCCCCCCACACCCCCTCCCCCCCAGTGACCCCCCACACCCCCTCCCCCCCACACCCCTCCCCCCCCAGTGACCCCCCACACTCCCCCCCCAGTGACCCCCCCACACCCCCCCCCACACCCCCCCTCCCCCCCCAGTGACCCCCCCACACCCCCCCCCACACCCCCTCCCCCCCCAGTGACACCCCTCCCCCCCACACCCACACCCCCCCCCACACCCCCCCCCACACCCCCCCCCACACCCCCCCCCACACCCCCCCTCCCCCCCTCACCTGCAGCGCCACGAGTCCCTGTCCCAGCATTCCGTCTGTCAGGGCCCCCCCCAGTCGGTTGTGCGCCAAGTTGAGGTCGCGCAGGAGGCCGAGGCCGGCGAAGGCGTCGCGCTCGACGCGTCGGACCTCGTTGCGGGTGGCGTTGAGCACGCGGAGGCTCGGCAGCTGCGCCAGGTCGGCGCGCGTCACCTGCCACAGGCGGTTGCCCGAAACGTCGAGCTCGCTGGCGTCCCTGGGCAGGCCTGCGGGGATGGAGCTGAGGTTGTGGTTGTAGCAGAACACCTTCAAGACGCCGCTGCTGTTGTGGATGTCGCAGTCGCGGTAGCTGTAGGGCGATGCGGGGCACGGCAGCAGCAGCAGCTGCAGCAGTAAGCAGGGCAGCAGATGCGGGGAAAGCGCATGAGACCCCATTGTGGTTATAGGGGAGTGGGGTGGGGGTTGAGTTTTAGGGTGAGAAGGTCGAGTTTAGGGGTAGGGTTCGGGGTCAGGGTTAGAGATTAGGATTGGGATTTGGGTTAGAGGTTGGGGTTAGGGGTTGGGTTTAGGGTATGGGGTTAGGATTTAGGGTTTGGGTTCGGGTTTACAACGAGGGTTTATGGTTAGGCTGCTGCTGATGCTGCTGCTGCTGATGCTGCTGCTGCTGATGCTGCTGCTGCTGATGCTGCTGCTGCTGATGCTGCTGCTGCTGATGCTGCTGCTGCTGATGCTGCTGCTGCTGATGCTGCTGCTGCTGATGCTGCTGCTGCTGATGCTGCTGCTGCTGATGCTGCTGCTGCTGATGCTGCTGCTGCTGATGCTGCTGCTGCTGATGCTGCTGCTGCTGATGCTTCCTGTTTGTGTGTTGATGCTGCTGTTGCTGCTGATGCTTCCTTCTTCTGATGCTGCTTCCTGTTTGTGTGTTGATGATGCTGCTGATATTGATTTAATATGGGCTTCTAGTGTACGAACGTTGAACTTCTTTCGCACCGTACCTAGCCAACCGCGCATAATCGGAGGTGCGGGGGAAGGAAAACAAACGTCAAGGCAACAACAACAACAAGCGGTTCTAAAGACGCGAACTTGTCAATCTAGGTGATGGTGATGATGGTGATGATGATTGAAAGAGACATCGCTCCCACTGCGTGTCCGAATATCGGAAGGAAGAGCGCATTCCAGACGGCCGCTAGCGAGTGCGCTTCTCCGCTGATGCTCCTGCTGCTTCTGTGGTGGTTCCCTGATGCCTGCGGTGTCTCTGTTGCTCCCCTGCTGCTGCTGCTTCTGTTGTGCTTCTGTGGTGTTTCCCTGCTGCTGCTGCTGCTTCTGTGGTGCTTCGCTGCTTCTATGGTGCTTCTGTGGTGCTTCTGTGGTGCTTCCCTGACGCCTGCGGTGTCTCTGCTGCTGCTTCTGTGGTGGTTCGCTGCTTCTGCTGCTTCTGTGGTGCTTCTGTGGTGCTTCTGTGGTGCTTCTGTGGTGCTTCTGTGGTGCTTCTGTGGTGCTTCTATGGTGCTTCTGTGGTGCTTCTGTGGTGTTTCACTGCTGCTGCTGCTTCTGTGGTGATTCCCTGACGCCTGCGGTGTCTCTGCTTCTGTGGTGCTTCCCTGCTGCTGCTTCTGTGGTGCTTCTGTGATGCCTGCAGTGTCTCTGCTGCTCTCCTCCTGCTGCTGCTGCTTCACTGCCTCTCTATCTAAGTTGTCTCTTCCTCCAGCGTCGCCTTCTCTTCTCTACCCCCCCCCCCACACACACACACCGCGTGTCTCACACACCACGCGCGTCTCACACCACGCGTCTCACACACACCACGTGTGTCACACACACACACCACGTGTGTCACACACACACACCGCGTGTCTCACACACCACGCGTGTCTCACACACCACGCGTCTCACACACACCACGTGTGTCACACACACACACCGCGTGTGTCACACACACACACCACGCGTCTCACACACACCACGCGTGTCTCACACACACACCGCGTGTCTCACACACACACCGCGTGTCTCACACACACACCGCGTGTCTCACACACACCGCGTGTCTCACACACACCACGCGTGTCTCACACACACCACGTGTGTTACACACACACACCACGCGTCTCACACACACCACGTGTGTCACACACACACCGCGTGTCTCACACACCACGCGTGTCTCACACACACCACGCGTGTCTCACACCACGCGTCTCACACACACCACGTGTGTCACACACACACACCGCGTGTCTCACACACCACGCGTGTCTCACACACACCACGCGTGTCTCACACCACGCGTCTCACACACACCACGTGTGTCACACACACACACCGCGTGTCCCGCACCTCGCCCCGGCTGCGTGAGACCGCGCCTCGCCGCACAAAGAGGGGCGACGCTTCGGGGAAGTCGTCGCGTGGGTGCAGAGCAGGTGAGCGAGTGAGTGTGTGTGTCATTGTGAGAGTGGTGTTGTGTGTATGTGACTGTGAGAGTGTGTGTGTGTCATTGTGAAAGTGTGTGTGAGTGTGTGTGTGTGAGAGTGTGTGTGTGAGAGTGTGTGTGAGAGTGTGTGTGTGTGAGAGTCATTGTGAGAGTGTGTGTGTGACTGAGAGTGTCTGTGTGTCATTGTGAGAGAGTGTGAGTGTGTGTGAGTGAGTGTCATTGTGAGAGAGTGTGAGTGTGTGTGTGTGAGAGAGTGTGTGAGTAGTTGTGTGTGTGAGTGTCATTGTGAGAGTGTGTGTGTGTGAGAGTGTGTGAGTGAGAGTGTGTGTGTGTCATTGTGAGAGTGTGTGTGTGTGAGAGAGTGTGTGAGTAGTTGTGTGTGTGAGTGTCATTGTGAGAGTGTGTGTGTGAGAGAGTGGTTTTGTGTGTGTGTGACCGTGCGTGTGTGAGTGTCATTGTGAGTGTGTGTGAGAGTGTGTGTGTGAGAGAGTGTGAGTGTCAGTGTGAGTGTGTGAGTGAGAGTGGTTTTGTGTGTGTGTGTGTGACCGTGAGAGTGAGAGTCTGTGTGGACACCCACGCCCTCGTGTGCCGTGCCGGCCTTCATAGGTGCTCGCTAACAGCACTTGCCCCTACAATCTGTTAAGGCTATACGGGGGATCTTTGTGTGGGGAGCGGTGGTGTAGCGATTAGCGCTACGCTGCGCTACGAACCTGGCATCCCGGGTTCGATTCCCGCTCACGGCCAACACCACCAGTGACGATTATCTGAACCGGTTCTGGGCCTCCCCTAGGTCGACTCAGCCTCAAATGAGTACCCGGTGCGGTGTGTAAACATCGTCACTAGGGAGACAAAGGCGGCCGGGCGTGGTGTTGGTCACCCACCCCCTCGTGTGCTGTGCCGGCCTTAATAGGTGCTCGCTAACAGCGCTTGCCCCAAAAATCTGTTAAGGCTACACGGGGGATCTTTGTCATTGTGTGAGTTTGGGGAACGGTGGCGCAGCAGTTAGCGCATCGCGTGATAAACCTTGCTGCCCGGATTCGATTCCCGCTCACGGCCAGTACCAGTCACGATTATCTGAACCGGTCCTGGGCCCGCCCTAGGTCGACTCAGCCTCAAAATGAGTACCTAGTGCGGTGTGTGGTAAACGTCACTAGGGAGACAAAGGCGGCCGAGCGTGGTGCTGGCCACCGGCATTTTGATAGGTGCTACTCGCTAACAGCACTTTCCCCAAAAGTCAGTTGAGGCTATGCGGGGGGGGAGATCTTTGTCTTTGTGAGAGCATGGGAGGTGCGCGGATTGACATTATGACTGGAATGTGTGTACAGTACATTGACTTGCGGTTTATAATGGATGGATGTGATTGTGTGTGTGTGTGTTCTATGTGAGTGTGTATGTTTGTGTGATTGTGTGTGTGATGGGGCAGTTCGGCAAAAACACATTCCTGCGGAGGGAGCTGGTAGGAACGTTGGGTTGCTCGGTCAATGGCCAGGGTCAACGGCGACGTGGTGTATTCCGCAAATATGCCCGACTGTGAGGGCGGGCACAAGCCGGCGTGAGTAGGTTAAACGTTGAGTTTTATAAGGGCACCACGGGGTGACCAGCCCCTCCCCACCCAGCCCCACCCCTCCCACCCCCCACCCAGCCCCACCCTCCCCACCCAGCCCCTCCCTCCCCACCCAGCCCCTCCCCACCCAGCCCCTCCCCACCCACCAGCCTCTCCCGACCCTCCCCTCTCCACCCAGCCCCACCCCTCCCATTTTTGGATGCACGACGGACGGACGGACACAATAATCCCCTGTGGGCTGGTGGAACCAGGAGGTTCCTACCAGTAAAACCTCCTACCTACTCGTTAGTGCCAGACTGCAACGCTGTGGTGAGCAGCAGAGGTCGCAACTGGGTACCCGATACCCGTACGGGTACCCGTTTGCGACCCTGGTGAGCAGCAGTGCCGTGGGGGGAATGGCAAATCTCAATTTGCCATTCCCCTCATGGCATTTGTAGCCACCACAACGGCCAAATGGGGGCTCTGGACGGGTGCGAGGGGCTGGTAACCCCTCCACCTTCAAATAAATTACCACGATACCACGGAATGATAATTAATTAATTAATGTTCACGTGGAAAGTTCGAACGCTCACTGCCAGAGGAGAGGCTGCCACTCCTCTGTCGGGAGCTGGACCGGTACCGCCTGGATCTCTGCGGTATTCAGGAGGTCCGGTGGACTGGCTCTGGCTCCTGCCTCCATGAGGGGTGGACAGTCCTCTACTCGGGGCAGGAGACCACCAAACAAAAGGTAGTGGTTCGTGGTGGTGAGGTGTAGGAAGCTGTAAGCCCCAGGCTACTTTGGGCTCGCCTTCCCATCAACCAGAGGCGAGGAGTGGTGGTCGTGGTTACTTATGTCCCCACTGAAGACGAACATCCGTGGAGGTGGTGAGATGCAGGCAAGGCCGATGAGTCAGATGCCTTCTATGACCTCCTGTCACAGGTGCTGGCTAAAGTGGCCCCACTGGATAGAGTCATCATGTTGGGTGACTTTAATGCTCGAGTTGGTCATGATGCTGGCACCTGGTCTGGAGTGATTGGAAGGCATGGATTCCTGCAGTCACGAAAGCTTCAAATCAAAAGCGTTATTAATGTAGTGGATTATTACCTTTATATAGAATATATCTATTATTTGGCTGCTGCTGCTGCTGCTACTATGCGTTTCCACACAGCGACAAAGACACATCGAGCTGTCATTCGTGATGGCCTGGGGGCGTCGCTTCTGAACAACGTGGTAGCTCAGTGCGCCGTTACCTGCTCAAATACAAGTCTTACCCCACGCTGTGTACAAGAGGGGGGGGGGGGGCATAGAAATGCAGGACAAGGAACGCAAAGACAGATGTCGACAGAATTCACCCCCCCCCCCCCTTGCCCGCCTCACCCGACCGGAATATCCAGAGCCGCCAGCTCTCGGGGAGGAAGAGAGAAGGGGGGTAGAGAGAGAGAGAGGGAGGGTGAAGAGAGGGGGGTAGAGAGAGAGGGGTTAGAGAGAGGGGGGTAAGGAGAGAGGGGGTAGAGAGAGAGGGGGGGGTAGAGAGAGAGGGGGTAGAGAGAGAGGGGGTAGAGAGAGGGGGGTAGAGAGAGAGGGGGTAGAGGAGGGGGGGGGGTAGAGAGAGAGGGGGGGGTAGAGAGAGGGGGGTAGAGAGAGAGGGGGTAGAGAGAGGGGGGGGGTAGAGAGTAGAGAGAGAGGGGGTAGAGAGAGAGGGGGTAGAGAGAGAGGGGGTAGAGAGAGAGGGGTAGAGAGAGGGGGGGGGGGATAGAGAGGGGGGGGTAGAGGAGTAGAGAGAGAGGGGGGGGGGGTAGAGAGAGGGGGGTAGAGAGAGGGGGGGTAGAGAGAGAGGGGGGTTAGAGAGAGAGGGGGGGGGGGGGTAGAGAGAGAGGGGGTAGAGAGAGGGGGGGGTAGGAGAGGGGGGGGGGGTAGAGAGAGGGGGGGGGTAGAGAGAGAGGGGTAGAGAGAGGGGGTAGAGAGAGAGGGGGTAGAGAGAGGGGGGTAGAGAGAGAGAGGGGTAGAGAGAGAGGGGGGGGTAGAGAGAGGGGGGGGTAGAGAGAGAGGGGGGGGTAGAGAGAGGGGGGGGGTAGAGAGGGGGGGGTGAGATGGGAGGGTAGAGAGAGCGGGGGGGGGGGTAGAGAGAGAGGGGGTAGAGAGAGGGGGGTAGAGAGAGGGGGGTAGAGAGAGAGGGGGGTAGAGAGAGGGGGGTAGAGAGAGGGGGGGTAGAGAGAGAGGAGGGATGAGTAGAGGAGGGGGGATAGAGAGAGGGGGGGTAGAGAGAGAGGGGGGGGGGGGTAGAGAGAGAGGGGGGTAGAGAGAGGGGGGGGGGTAGAGAGAGAGGGGTAGAGAGAGAGATGGGGGGGGTAGAGAGAGAGGGGGGGTAGGAGAGAGGGGGGGTAGAGAGAGGGGGGTAGAGAAGGAGGGGGGTAGAGAGAGCGAGAGGGTAGATAGAGAGGGGGGATAGAGAGAGGGGGGGTAGAGAGAGAGGGGGGGGTAGAGAGAGAGGGGGGTAGAGAGAGGGGGGGGGTAGAGAGAGAGGGGGTTCTAGAGAGAGAGAGGGGGGGGGTAGAGAGAGAGGGGGGGTAGACGAGAGAGGGGGGGTAGAGAGAGGGGGTTAGAGAGAGGGGGTAGAGAGAGGGGGGGGGTAGAGAGAGAGAGGGGGGTAGAGAGAGGGGGTAGAGAGAGAGAGGGGGGTAGAGAGAGAGGGGGTATGAGAGAGAGGGGGTAGAGAGAGAGGGGGTAGAGAGGGGGGGGGCGTAGAGAGAGAGGGGGGGTTAGAGAGAGGGGGGGGGGTAGAGAGAGGGGGGTTAGGAGAGAGGGGGGGGGGTTAGAGAGGGGGGGGGGTGTAGAGAGAGAGGGGGTTAGAGAGAGAGGGGGTAGAGAGAGGGGGGGGGTATAGAGAGAGGGGGGTAGAGAGAGAGGGCGGTAGAGAGAGGGGGGGTAGAGAGAGAGAGGGTAGATAGAGAGGGGGGATAGAGAGAGGGGGGGTAGAGAGAGAGGGGGGGGGGTAGAGAGAGAGGGGGGTAGAGAGAGGGGGGGGTAGTAGAGAGAGAGGGGGTAGAGAGAGAGAGGGGGGGGGGTAGAGAGAGAGGGGGGGTAGAGAGAGAGGGGGGTAGAGAGAGGGGGTAGAGAGAGGGGGTAGAGGGTAGAGAGAGAGAGGGGGGTAGAGAGAGGGGGTAGAGAGAGGGGGGTAGAGAGAGAGGGGGTAGAGAGAGAGGGGGTAGAGAGAGAGGGGGTAGAGAGGGGGGGCGTAGAGAGAGAGGGGGTAGAGAGAGGGGGGGGGGTTAGAGGAGAGAGGGGGGGGGTGGTAGAGACGAGAGGGGGGTAGAGAGAGGGGGGGGGTAGGAGAGGGGGGTAGAGAGAGGGGGGGGTAGAGAGGGGGGGGTAGAGAGAGGGGGGGTAGAGAGAGGGGGGTAGAGAGAGGGGGTAGAGAGAGAGGGGGTAGAGAGAGGGGGTTCGAGAGAGAGAGGGGGTAGAGAGAGAGGGGGGTAGAGAGAGAGGGGGGGTAGAGAGAGGGGGTATAGAGAGAGAGGGGGTTAGAGAGAGAGGGGGTAGAGAGAGAGGGGGTAGAGAGAGAGGGGGGGTAGAGAGAGGGGGGGTAGAGACCTCCTCTATCAGCCAGGGTCCCTGTGGGTGTTTGGACCATGTACCCAAGGCAGCCATTGCAGCTGCATGAGCCACAGTCCTAAACCTCGCTCATTTCCTGGCCTCTGGTTGATGGGAAGGCGAGCCCACAGTAGCCATGAACTTACAGCCTCCCACACCTCATCGCCACGTTCAGAAGAAGTGCTACTCCCTGTTGATTGGCAGTCTCCTGCTCCGAGTAGAGGACTGTCCATCCTTTATGGTGTCAGGAGCAAAAGCCGGTCCACCGGACCTCATGAACACCACAGAGATCCAGGCGGTACCGGTCCAGCTCCCGACAGAGGAGTGGAAGCCTCTCCTCCGCAGTGAGCGTTCGAACATTCCACGTGGCCACCCGCAGTGGTTTTTTGCCTGGAGGAACTCCGAGGCCAATGGCCCTCCCCCCATGTCACTGCTCACCACAGCGTTACCGTCCGGCACCAACTCGGAGGGAGGGGGTGTTATAAAACAAAGACAAAGATCCCCCGTGTAGCCTTAACGGACTCTTGGGACAAGTGTTGTTAGCGAGCACCTATGAAGGCCGGCACGACACACGAGGGGGTGGGTGGCCAGCACCACGCCCGGCCGCCTTTGTCTCCCTAGTGGCGATGTTTACACACCGCACTAGGTACTCATTTGAGGCCGAGTCGACCTAGGAGAGGCCCAGGACCGGTTCAGATAATCGTCACCGGTGTTGGTGGCCGTGAGCGGGAATCGAACTCGGGTCGCCGGGTTCGTAGCGCGCTAACCGCTCCTCACACATAAACACTCAAATACACTGATACGTATCCAATGAGCAATGTCCCCTTCACCCAATCAATATATCCTCATGAATGTCAAGAAGTGCATTGTTTACTTGTTAATTTTTTTTTTAATGAAACGTACAATGACTAAAATGTAAATTATCTTGCTCAAGAATAACGTGGCCATCTTGCTCAGGGACAACACAGCCATCTTGCTCAGGGATGGGGCCATCTTGTTCAAGGACAACGTGGCCATCTTGCTCAGAGATTGGAGTGGCCATCTTGCTCAGGGATAGAGTGGCCATCTTGCTCAGGGATAGAGTGGCCATCTTGCTCAGGGACAATTCTTCGTTTTTAATCGGGACCGCCCCCCTCAACCCTACCCAATATGGCTGCGGGCAGCACCGATGACGTCACTACGGAAGTCGACATGTACTCGAGAACCATGGAGCCGTGACCGGCGGTCCCCGCGTCTCCGCCGCCTCCTTCCCGCGTCCCCTCGCCGCCGCCGCCGCCTCCGCCTCCTCCCTCCTCACGGCGGCGGGGACACCCCGAGGGACACCCCAGAGACGCCGAGTCCCTGCGCCCCTCACGGGCCGCTCGGCCGAGAAGGCCGCGCCCGACACCCTGCTTGCCTGGACGCCTCTACCGCGCAGGAGGCGAGGGGCTCGGTAGGGTCTTGGTGGGGGGGAGGGGGGGGGAGACCGGGCCCCGTTCTGATTTTGAAACCCCCCAACAGCCCTTCGTCGTGTGGATGTACTCGGCCCCGCCACATCAATGTGGAATTTCCACCACCAGGCTCTGCAGGGCTGCAGACGGGAGTTTGAGAACTGACGCCTCAACAATGCTCGCGTGAGCATAAACTCTTCAGCTTCAAATCAACATTAAACTCTTAAGAGTTACAAAATATCAAAATTTGGTGAATTGTGCCGTGACTTTTGTCGTTAAATCCCAGGTCTGTACGCAACTGGGGTCTCGATGGGCACGGGGGGTCTTTCCCTGCCTGGTGCATCTCACTGCGTGGGGGTTAAACGGGGTCTTTGGTGCACGGGGTGGGATCAATGAATGGGTTGTCTCGCAGGGGTCTGTGAACGGGGTCTATCGTCAATTGGTGTCTGACTTTGGACTCGTTGGGGTTTAAGGGATTCTGTCAATGAGGGGTCTAATAATTTGGGGTCTCAATGAGGCTTCTCAATCGACCGGGGTCTCTGGGGGGGTCTGACTCGAGGCGTTTTTGGGCTCTGGTCGCTGGGGGTCTAAATTGGGTCTTTGGTAATTGAATTGGGTCTCTGGATCTTTGGTAAATGAATTGGGTCTCTGGATCTTTGGTAAATGAATGGGGTCTCTGGATCTTTGGTAAATGAATTGGGTCTCTGCGTCTTTGGTAAATGAATGGGGTCTGTGGGTCTTTGGTAAATGAATGGGGTCTGTGGGTCTTTGGTAAATGAATGGGGTCTGTGGGTCTTTGGTAAATGAATGGGGTCTCTGGATCTTTGGTAAATGAATTGGGTCTCTGGATCTTTGGTAAATGAATGGGGTCTGTGGGTCTTTGGTAGATGAATTGGGTCTCTGGATCTTTGGTAAATGAATGGGGTCTGTGGGTCTTTGGTAAATGAATTGGGTCTCTGGATCTTTGGTAAATGAATTGGGTCTCTGGATCTTTGGTAAATGAATGGGGTCTGTGGGTCTTTGGTAAATGAATGGGGTCTGTGGGTCTTTGGTAAATGAATGGGGTCTCTGGATCTTTGGTAAATGAATTGGGTCTCTGGATCTTTGGTAAATGAATGGGGTCTGTGGGTCTTTGGTAAATGAATTGGGTCTCTGGATCTTTGGTAAATGAATGGGGTCTGTGGGTCTTTGGTAAATGAATTGGGTCTCTGGATCTTTGGTAAACGAATGGGGTCTGTGGGTCTTTGGTAAATGAATGGGGTCTCTGCGTCTTTGGTAAATGAATGGGGTCTCTGGGTTATCCCAGAATTTGACCTCAGAACGGTGTCTCAGGGATCAGTCAATGGGGTCTGTGAGTGGGGTGTCAATGGGGGGCTCTCGAATGGGGTCTCTGTGGTGTCTTTGACGTGGTTGGGGTGCTCAGCGGGGTATGTGGGAGGTGCCTGAATGGGGCCCTGTAAGGATTTGGGATCCTCTTAGGATGCCGCGGTGACGAGAGGTCAACTACCTCGCCTGGTATACAGGCTGTCGTGGGTTCCATCCCTGCCCTGACACCTGCTGTATATTTGGAGTTGGCATGTTCTCCCCGTGGTCGCGTGGAGTTTTCCTCCGGGTCCTCCACTGTGACCTACCACATTTCGGGATAAATGTCCCGCACGGCGGTTGGCCACTCGGTTGAGCGATAATTTTTGGTGGCCAGGTCGCTTCTGAATAAGAGCTACACTGGGCCCTTACTTGGCGAATGAATGGGATATCACTGGAGGCTCTGGGTCCTGTGGTCGGGTTTCTGAGGTCTCTTGGGCAAGGTTCCCCTCCTGTGCCCCCCCCCTCTCAGCACTAAGCCCCCATGACGCTGGGGATATAATCGCTGGCGTGGTTAAGAGGTTTACCCGTAGCCCGCACCATTCAAGTTGGACTCCTGACCCAGTCTCTTGTGACACCAAGTCTAGTGAGTCTACAGAGACCCAGTCTTTTGTGACACCCAGTCTAGTGAGTCTACAGAGACCCAATCTCTTGTGACACCCAGTCTAGTGAGTCTACAGAGACCCAGTCTCTTGTGACACCCAGTCTAGTGAGTCTACAGAGACCCAGTCTCTTGTGACACCCAGTCTAGTGAGTCTACAGAGACCCAGTCTCTTGTGACACCCAGTCTAGTGAGTCTACAGAGACCCAGTCTCTTGTGACACCCAGTCTAGTGAGTCTACAGAGACCCAGTCTCTTGTGACACCCAGTCTAGTGAGTCTACAGAGACCCAGTCTCTTGTGACACCCAGTCTCTAGTGAGTCTACAGAGACCCAGTCTCTTGTGACACCCAGTCTAGTGAGTCTACAGAGACCCAGTCTCTTGTGACACCCAGTCTAGTGAGTCTACAGAGACCCAGTCTCTTGTGACACCCAGTCTAGTGAGTCTACAGAGACCCAGTCTCTTGTGACACCCAGTCTAGTGAGTCTACAGAGACCCAGTCTCTTGTGACACCCAGTCTAGTGAGTCTACAGAGACCCAGTCTCTTGTGACACCCAGTCTAGTGAGTCTACAGAGACCCAGTCTCTTGTGACACCCAGTCTAGTGAGTCTACAGAGACCCAGTCTCTTGTGACACCCAGTCTAGTGAGTCTACAGAGACCCAGTCTTTTGTGACACCCAGTCTAGTGAGTCTACAGAGACCCAGTCTCTGTGACACCCAGTCTAGTGAGTCTACAGAGACCCAGTCTCTTGTGACACCCAGTCTAGTGAGTCTACAGAGACCCAGTCTCTTGTGACACCCAGTCTAGTGAGTCTACAGAGACCCAGTCTCTTGTGACACCCAGTCTAGTGAGTCTACAGAGACCCAGTCTCTTGTGACACCCAGTCTAGTGAGTCTACAGAGACCCAGTCTCTTGTGACACCCAGTCTCTAGTGAGTCTACAGAGACCCAGTCTCTTGTGACACCCAGTCTAGTGAGTCTACAGAGACCCCAGTCTCTTGTGACACCCAGTCTAGTGAGTCTACAGAGACCCAGTCTCTTGTGACACCCAGTCTAGTGAGTCTACAGAGACCCAGTCTCTTGTGACACCCAGTCTAGTGAGTCTACAGAGACCCAGTCTCTTGTGACACCCAGTCTAGTGAGTCTACAGAGACCCAGTCTCTTGTGACACCAAGTCTAGTGAGTCTACAGAGACCCAGTCTTTTGTGACACCCAGTCTAGTGAGTCTACAGAGACCCAATCTCTTGTGACACCCAGTCTAGTGAGTCTACAGAGACCCAGTCTCTTGTGACACCCAGTCTAGTGAGTCTACAGAGACCCAGTCTCTTGTGACACCCAGTCTAGTGAGTCTACAGAGACCCAGTCTATAGAGTCCCAGTCTCTAGTGAGTCTACAGAGACCAAGTCTCTATAGGCTCACTAAATACACCCAGTGTACATAGGGAGTCTCTTCCCTGGGTCCGTAGTTAGTCTCTTCTGCACCCAAGACTACTCCGTCTCATCGCGAGTGGAGCGGGCGGATGATGAGGCGTGGTGAGGAGGAGGAGGTGAAGGAGGTGGCCCCTCTAGGTGTCTGCTCTATTTAAGACCGGAAACAACAGGAGAGCTTCACCATTCTTGCCCGATGAAGCTGATTGTAATTATCAGCGAAATGTCGAACTACTCAAATTTTAAAATGATGTTGATTCTCTCTTCATCGCACCGGTGGGCTAAAGAAGTCAATTTGTCCTTTGAAAACATGACGCAATTTTTTACTGTTTGGCTGTGTCGGGTGGTGGAGGGTTACGACACATTTATAAATAACGCGATCTGACCCAAAAACCTATATTTTATGTGTTTACATATGTCTGTCTTATTTTAATAGAACAAAAATAAAAAATAAAATTTCGTTTTATTTTTTACCCACGTGACTTTACCGAAAAAACCAAAGAGTATGGACCCTTGCAGTCACGAAAACTTCTAATCTAGAATATGTCTGTCTGTCTGTCTGTTGCGGTTGCACCCAAATCAAGAGCCGAACGGCTCACAGGGTAAATCCTAATAAATGAAACTGAATCTGAAATTGTCTCTGTGTACACGCGTGTAATGACGTCCGTCTTTCGTCTCCCCGTCTGCCCAGCGCTGCCCCGAGCCCCCACGATGCTGCCCCCGCCCCTAGCGGCTGGCGGTGGTGGCGGTGAGCGGGAGCCATGGCTGGTGAGGCTGCCCATGGCTCACCTGGTTCATGCCTCCGTCAGTCTCCCTCTGGTGGCGTTCTTCTTCTGCGTCGCCTGGTCCCTCCTGTACCACTTCGACGCCTCCACGGCCACTCACTGTGGGGTGAGCGGCGGGGGGAAGGGGGGTGAGCGGCGGGGGGGAAGGGGGGTGAGCGGCGGGGGGGAAGGGGGGTGAGCGGCGGGGGGAAGGGGGGTGAGCGGCGGGGGGGAAGGGGGGTGAGCGGCGGGGGGGAAGGGGGGTGAGCGGCGGGGGGAAGGGGGGTGAGCGGCGGGGGGAAGGGGGGTGAGCGGCGGGGGGAAGGGGGGTGAGAGGGGGCGGGAGCGGCGGGGGGGAAGGGGGGTGAGCGGCGGGGGGGAAGGGGGTGTGAGCGGCGGGGGGAAGGGGGGTGAGCGGCGGGGGGGAAGGGGGGTGAGCGGCGGGGGGAAGGGGGGTGAGCGGCGGGGGGAAGGGGGGTGAGCGGCGGGGGGAAGGGGGGTGAGCGGCGGGGGGGAAGGGGGGGTGAGCGGCGGGGGGGAAGGGGGGTGAGCGGCGGGGGGAAGGGGGGTGAGCGGCGGGGGGGAAGGGGGGTGAGCGGCGGGGGGGAAGGGGGGTGAGCGGCGGGGGGGAAGGGGGGTGAGCGGGGGGGGTGAGCGGGATGAGTTAAAACACCGTGTGAGAGGGGGCGAGTGGGTCAGGTTGTGAATGGGTTGGGTGGGTAAGTGAGTGAGGGGTAAGCTATTGGGTGAGTGGGTGGGTGGGTCAGTGAGTGGGTGGGTGGCTGGGTGGGTGACTGGGTGACTGGGTGAGTGGTTGGGTGGGTGGGTGGTTGCGTGGGTGGATGCGTGAGTGGTTGGGTGGGTGGGTGGATGCGTGGGTGGGTGGTTGGGTGGGTGGGTGATGACTAGGTGGTTTGGTGGATGAGATGTCTGGGTGACCGACACGGGAGGAGGAATCGGCGAGTGAAGTTCAGAGCAAGAGTAGCCATGGTACTCTTTGTTTTTTTTCGGTAAAGTCACGTAGGTAAAAATTAAAATAAATTAAATCACGACGTTTCGGGCGCAACACAAGCGTCCTTCTTCAGGTGGGGACAACTTAAGCGGTTGAAGAAGGACGCTTGTGTTGCGCCCGAAACGTCGTGATTTAATTTATTTAAATTTTTCATCTACGTGACTTTACCGAAAAAACCCAAAGGGGTATGAATCGTTGCAGTCACGAAAACTTCAAATCTAGAAGTAGCCATGGTAACAGCGGTGGAAGAGCAGGTCGGTCGGTGAGTGTTTTGGTGAGCGGTTTCGTGATGGGGTTCGTGAGTGGCTGAGTGAGTGACTTGGTGAACAAGCGAGCTGTTGAGTCGATTCGAAGCCGGGGCTGCCAGCTCACCAGCCACTACTGCCGGTGAGTGGCGGTGAGTGGCGGTGAGTGTGCTCACCACCCCTATGCCCCACCCCCCCGCCCCCGCCCGCCCCCCCGCCCGCCCAGGTGTGGAACCTGCTGCCGTCGATCAGCGCCGCGATCGGCGGCTTCACGCCGCAGCGCTACGTGTGGCGCACGCTGCTCGGGCTGCACGCGCCGCCGCGCCTCCTGCTGGCGCTCGCCTACTTGCGCCGCTACCGCAGCCACCCCCCCGGCACCGCGGCCCCCCTCCTCCTGCTCCACCGCGGCGGCGGCGGCGACGGCGGCCGCCGCGTAGCGGCTCTCCGGCTGCCGCGCCTCGCGTTCCTCGCCAACCTGGCGGAGCTCGGAGGCCTCCTGGGCCTCACGAACGTCTCGTCGAATGAGAACCACGGTGGGGGTGGGGGGCAGAGGGGGGGGGGGGGCAATGGGGAGCGGTGGCGCGGCGGTCGGCGCACGAGCACGATCGCCGCTCGCGGCCAACCTCGACTTTATGGTCCGGTCCGTGGCCTCCCCTCGGGGCCTCCTGGCGCGGCGGCGTTTGAAACCGCGTCGGCGGCGTGCCGGCCTTCGTATCATTGAAGTTTGTAAAGGGGGGGGGGGGGGGGGGGGGGCGCGTCTCCTCCGTAGATCCCGCCAACGCTCGACCACCGTGTGTGGAAAGCCGGGAAATGAACTGAATCTGCACAGGGTAAATGGCCAGGACTGGGAAATTTTAAGAGTTAAAAACAAAAACAGACTTAAAGATCTTCTTGGTTCTTTCGGTAAAGTCACGTAGAAGGGAAATAATAAAATAATAAAATAATGAAGCATAATAAAATAATTCTTGTGAGAATTATTTTATAATTCTTGTGAGAATTGTATTTTATTATGTTTTATTATTTTATTATTTCCCTTCTACGTGACTTTACCGAAAGAACCAAGAAGATGAATCCCTGCAGTCACGAAAGCTTTAAATCGAAATTTAGACTTAAAGATACCTAACGTCTCCGATTGCCTTATTAGCGTAGGCGCTGCCGCTCGCTGACAGCACTTGCCCCAACAGTGCGTGAAGGCTACAGTTGAGGGAGGGAACCTTTGTGTGTTTGTGTCCGTGGGGGGCGCAGATCTGCACAAGCTGGCCTTCGTCACGTTCATCCTGGGAGCTGCTTGCTACATGCTGCTCACTTGCCGTCTGTGGAGTTACGCAGCTAGCGACGAGGTGAGGGGCAGCGCTGCTACCTCGTCGTCGTCGTCACCATCATCACCATCGTCATCATCGGGAGTTGTCGGCAGAAGCAGCGGCGTGATCGCCGTCGTCATCGGCGGAAGCAACACGCAGCAGTAGCAGCAGCAATACTGTTTGCCATGAGCTTCATTGTCACCACCATCATCATCATCGTCATCACCACCATCTTCATCACTACTATCATATCACTACCGCCAACATCATTTTCACTGTTACAACCACCGCCATCATCATCGTCGCTACCATCATCATTATGACTGCCATAGTGACTGTCACAACCATCATCATCATCACTATAATAATGACTGCCATCACCATCAACACCACCATCATCATCAGCAGCTTATCATCATCACTACCACCATCATCATCACCACCACCACCATCATCATCATCATCACCACCACCATCATCATCATCATCACCACCACCACCACCATCATCATCATCACTACCACCATCATCATCATCACTACCACCATCATCATCACCACCACCACCATCACCACCACCACCACCACCATCATCATCATCATCACCACCACCACCATCATCATCATCACAATCCCCACCACCACCATCATCATCACTACCACCATCATCATCACCACCACTATCATCATCATCATCAGTACAATGCAGTGGCCCTCTGTGGTCCGTGACCCCGTGCCGCCATAACCCCGTGACCCCAGGAGCGCCGGTCGTACCTGTGGAAGCGGAGGCTGGCGGTGATCAACTTGCTGTCCAGCCTTCTCGCGGTGTTCACCTACACGCGTCACAACCGCTACTGCGAGCCCGGCGGTGAGCGGGGGTGGGGTGAGGGGGGCAAAGTGAGTGGAAGGGTGAGTGAAATGGTCGATGAGTGGATTAATTTAATGGGTTGGTGGGTAATTGAGTGAGTTGTTGAGTGGGTAGGTGAGTGTGTGTGTGGGTCATGTCGGCCACATGCCCAGCCACCGCATGCCCAAGCAGCTTCTGTTTGGCCGCATGGAGGGGGTTAAATGGGCACGACACGGGCTGGAGAAGAGAAGAAAGTTGATGCGGTACGGGAGGATGTTGAGTTGAGTGGACTTGCCGATGACTGGTACCAGCGGTGTCAAGATCGGACTCTATAGGAGGCTCGTGAAGGACGCTACTGGGCAGTTGGAGGCAGTCGCCCTCCAACGACAACGGAGGGCGGAGGAGCGACGCTCACAACAACGAGCGGAGCGCCGGGCGGCAAGTTGGCACAGTAGGGGGCACAGGTGGTGCATCTGCCGGTCATCTCAGTCAATTCAATTCATGGCACCTGCTGGGTCTGTCCCGTGACCTCCTTACCAGTAGCGAGCCTTCGACAATTCACAGCATGGCCTCAAAGTGCACCTAGCCTGGCACAAGTGCCATGGAGTCGTCACGACCAATTAGTGGCGAATGGCGGCTGTTGTTGTTGTATCTGTGCGTGTTCTCAGTGGTGTAGGGATTAGTTTGCGCGCTGCGCTACGAACCCGGCGACCCGAGTTCGATTCCCGCTCACGGCCCCGAACACCGGCGACGATGATCTGAACCGGTCCTGGTCCTCCCCTAGGTCGACTCGGCCTAAAATGAGTTACTTGGTGCGGTGTGTAGTAAGACATCGCCGCCAAGGGAGACAAAGGCGGCCGGCGGTGGCGCTGGCCTTCGTCGGTGCTGCTAGCTAACAGCCCTTGCCCCTACAGTCTGTTAAGGCTATACGGGGGATCTTTGTCTCGGTGTGTGTGCGTGCGTGTGCAGTGTACACGCTGTTTGCGCTCTGCGAGTATGCCGTGGTGTTCTCCAACATCGCGTTCCACTGGACAGCCGTCTGGGATTTCAGCTCCTTGCAGCTTCTCGTCGGCCCCCCACCACCTGACAAGCGCTTCTGAGAGTGGGGGGCCACCCCCCTACGGTGGGGGGGCGGGGGAGGGGGGGCTACTGCAACATGGACTCCTACACATTGACCCTGACCCCTACAGGGAGACCCTGACCCCTAGACAGAGACCCTGACCCCAACAGAGACCCTGACCCCAGCACGGAGACCCTGACCCTTATACAGAGACCCTGACCCCCATACAGATACCCTGACCCCTAGACAGAGACCCTGACCCCAACAGAGACCCTGACCCCTAGACAGAGACCCTGAACCCCATACAGATACCCTGACCCCCATACAGATACCCTGACCCCAACAGAGACCCTGACCCCAACAGAGACCCTGACCTCTAGACGGAGATCCTGACCCCTACAGAGACCCTGACCCCTACAGAGACCCTGACCCCAACAGAGACCCTGACCCCCAACAGAGACCCTGACCCCTAGACGGAGACCCTGACCCCAACAGAGACCCTGACCTCTATACAGAGACCCTGACCCCTACACGGAGACCCTGACCCCAACAGAGACCCTGACCCCTACACGGAGACCCTGACCCCTAGACAGAGACCCTGACCCCAACAGAGACCCTGACCCCAACAGAGACCCTGACCCCAACAGAGACCCTGACCCCAACAGAGACCCTGACCCCAACAGAGACCCTGACCCCTATACAGAGACCCCATCACCATCGCCATAATCACCACTGCCATATTCGCCACCATCGCCACCATCACCACCACCATCACCACCACCATCACCACCACCATCATCACCACCATCACCACCATCACCACCACCAGACGAAAGCAAGCGCGCCTGTTGTGACGGGGCAAGTCGGAGCTGAGAGGCTGACTCGGTGCCTTGATGGCGCCATCGGGGACTGTCTCTCTGCATGGTCCCATCCCTGAGACTCAAGACCCCGTGTCTCCGAGTCCCCGTGTCTCTCTGCGTCTAGCCCCATCCCTGAGTCTCAAGATCCCGTGTCTCTGTGGGTCCCTGTGTCTTTCTGCATGGTTCCATCCCTGATTCTCAAGATCCCGAGTCTCTGTGGGTCCTCGTGTCTCAATGCATGGTCCCATCCCTGAGACTCAAGACCCCGTGTCTCCGAGTCCCCGTGTCTCTCTGCGTCTAGCCCCATCCCTGAGTCTCAAGATCCCGTGTCTCTGTGGGTCCCTGTGTCTTTCTGCATGGTTCCATCCCTGATTCTCAAGATCCCGAGTCTCTGTGGGTCCTCGTGTCTCAATGCATGGTCCCATCCCTGAGACTCAAGACCCCGTGTCTCTGAGTCCCCGTGTCTCTGTGCGTGGTCTCATCCCTGAGACTGAAGACCCCGTGTCCCCGTGTCTCTCTGCGCCTGGTCCCAGTCACACTCAGGAGGACTCCCGTGAGTCGAGCCTGAGCCGAGCTGCTCGCTCCGTGAGTCTTTGGAAGCGGCTGAGAGTGACCGGTGCCTGAGAGAGGCTTAAGCCTGGCCGTGTTGCTGGCTACGCTGCTGCTCCTGCTCCTGCTGCTGCTGCTGCCTGCAGTGAGCCAGCGCTGTGGAGGAGGCAGCCGTAGCAGCGGGGATTGGTGGATCACTCGCAGATGTTGCGAGGAACTCCCTTCGCTGTGGGTGGTGGAGGAGTCGTACTCTCTGGCTCTGCCAGCAGGCGGCGTGTGTGGACTACCACCTGAAGACGGAAGCTTGTGTTGCCTCCGAAACGTCGTGATTTTTATTTTATTTTACTTTTATTAATTTAAATTTTTTACCTCCGTGACTTTACCGAAATAACCTAATAATATGGACTGTACCGCTCTGGGAGGGGATTGGAATTTGGGGAAAATATTTTAATTGCGATGTTTCTGACATTGCGATTTGATTTGCGATTCAATTGTTTAAGTCAAGCTTCAGTTCAATATTCACTGTGCAATAGATTTAAAACGTGATGGAGCATTACCACATGATACCATCAACATATGAACTGCTCTATACTAATTCAAGGATGAAAACTTAAAAGATCTGAATTGCTTCCAACATGTATTTATTTTAAAAAATTCATAGAAATAGAACAATCAAACATAGAACACTTGTTAAGTTAAATAAATAAAGTTATAATAACGAAAATTCAATAATTCCCATAAGAAAGTAATAGGACTTTTTAAATCGCAAAAAATCGCAGCCTTTGTGATTTGCTAATCGCATTGTTTTAAATTGCAATTAATCGATTAATCGTTCAGCCCTAGATGGGTTCTGCCTCCCTGGCACGCGTGGGGTTTCCTCCCACGTCTATAAACGCTCACAACTTGACCAATAACGTCTTTATATAGAGAGGACTGCAGAACTTGGGCAATTGTGTAGTGCCTCGTCACCACCGCGTGGCTGCTGCTGCCTCGCTCGTCTGTGTTGCCTCCTGGTGCTTCTCGTCCTCTGAGTCATCCTCTCTCTCCGAGTCGTCCTCTCTCTGAGCCGTCATCTATATCTCTGAGTCGTTTTTTAAGTCATCCTCTCCCTCTAAGTCGTCCTCTCTCTGAGTCATCCTCTCTCTAAGTCCTCCCTCTCTGAGTCGTCCTCTATATCTCTGAGTCGTCCTCTAAGTCGTCCTCTAAGTCGTCCCCTCTCTCCGCCGAGGGTGATGAGCGGCTACTGTGCGGTGGCGTGTTGCACGTTCGAGACGATTGTGGCTACGGGCCCCGGAGACTTTAACCCCCCTGGGCTGACCGACGCCCACGTGACCGGGACAATCTTCAAGAATCCGTGAGGACTGTTTGAGACGCGTGGGGGGGCATTGACCGGTGGTGGCGGCGGCGGTCAGCCGGGCGGTTCGGTGTGCACGTGACCGATCGCTTCTCGTTGGGTCGAGGCCACCACCACCACTTCACCGTGAACGAGACACGTGATTCCTCTGGCTGGTCCGGTCCAATCAACTTCATCATCAATATCATCATCAATATCATCATCGTCAACAGAATAAAAATCTGAATTTTCATAATTTACCGGAGAAATCCGATGAGCTATAAAGTTTTTTTTTTTACAGATGTCCAGTAAGGGGTGGGTGGCTCAGTAACATCAAAACATGGCTACAATTATCAACAGCACGAACTCTACACGCCGTGCTAGACCGGGACCAATATCATCGTGAAGTCGCACACGCCGTTAGGCAGCACTAAAGAAGAAGAAAGGCATAAAGTTACAACAAGCAAAACAAAAAATGATAGTAATGCAAAAGTGTAGGCAAGGTTAAGCAAATCACTAACAAGTATAACCCGTAAAAACAAAGTTTTTCACTATAAATCCTTTATATGCGTGGCGGCTAGATTCCTCTCGTCCTCTGGCTTGAGATGGCTGCCACCTATGGGTCAGATGATTGTCTGCCAGTATTAAGCAATTGGTAATTAAATATTTAATTTGTTTTCCCTAAAAATTTTGGAAAAAACATTTTCACGAACATTAATTGTCACGCACAACGAGTCTGTGTGCAAAATGTCAGCTCGATTGGATCACGGGAAGTGGGTTAAAAACGACCGAAAGATTTGCACGGTCCTAAGCAAGCAAGCAAGCGAACTTAATATAAAGGATTTAAAAATGCCATCGACCGGAGCTGCAGTGTGTCGCAAAAAACAACAAAAAAGTCACGTGGCTTTACGGAAAGAACCAAAGAATATGGATTTCTTCAGTCACGAAATTTGTAACTCAAAACAAACAAAAAACGATTCCTTGGTGTGGACCAATCAGTTTCAAGGACAATGCATATATTATCAGTGTGTTTTTGTTTGCATTTTGACCGCAAGTATTGTGGTTAATGCAGACGTGATTCTTGTAAAAAGGTTTCAGTTTTGTTGCCTAAAAAAGTGGGAAAACCCTATTATTATATTTTGGTACTGGCAAAGGAGGTCCAAAGATGATCATATTAACAGTCTGGACCACTGGACGGGTTCGGCAGGATTGGAAGGATGCCCTGGTGGTCCTCTTTAAGAAGGGGACCGCATAGACCAGCGGTCGGGAACCTATGGCTCGCGAGCCATATATGGCTCGCGAGCCATATATGGCTCTTCTGGTGACAGGATATGGCTCCCAGACAATTTTGAGTTGAAAAAAAAATACAAAAATCAGTTTGGAACTGATTTTAAAATACTTGTGATATTGCTCAATAATAGTGTGTCATTTTAAAGTAAACAGAAATTAGTTTTGAAGATAAATTTCACGAGTCACGGGGCCTCAACGCCTGCACGAAGCTCAACCTCACCACGTATGAACCAGACTACAAGAGCCATCAGCAAAACCATGCAGCACCAGAAGTCGCATTAAAAGTAAGACATTTAATTTATTATACGTTAAAATACTATATGGCTCTCAATGTAATATATTTAGAAATATTTGGCTTGTATGGCTCTCCCAGTCAAAAAGGTTCCCGACCCCTGGCATAGACTGTCATTTCCCCCGCGCCTCTAATTCGCACGGTTAGTTACGCACGGTGTGAATGAAGTTCTAAATACAGCCTAAGACTCGACACTGCACCTCCGTTTGGCTACGCGCGGTGCGAAAAAGTTCAACATACTGCGCATAGCCTAACACTACCCATACACTCAACACTGCGAAATATATTGAACATAACGACCCTAACAACTTCAGCGTCTTCAACAACATCATCATCATCAATAATGGAATCCACTATTGTGAACATCATCTATATATATAATAAGTATAACCAGTAAAAACAAAATTTTTCACTATAAATCCTTTATATGCGTGGCGGCTAGAGTCCTCTCGTCCTCTGGCTTGAGATGGCTGCCACCTATGGGTCAGATGATTGTCTGCCAGTATTAAGCAATTGGTAATTAAATATTTAATTTGTTTTCCCTAAACAGTGTAAAATTTTGTAAAAAAAATTTCACGAACATTAATTGTCTCGCACAACAAGTCTGTGTGCAAAATGTCAGCTCGATTGGATCATGGGAAGTGGGTTAAAAAACGACCGAAAGATTTGCACGGTAGTAAGCAAGCACGCAAGTAAGCGAACTTAATATAAAGGATTTAAAAAAGAGAAATTTGTGATTATGTGTGTCTGTTCAAAATGTTTGGCGTACTTTCCGACATGCAACAAACTTGAAATTTGCCATGTGGGTACTTTCCAGACTGTACATCATGCAAACATTATAAAAATAGACTTTGGTATTTTTTTCGGTGGGGGGGGGGGCGCAATAATGCAGATATTTTTTTGCACGGCAAGTGAGCTGTGACGTCACATATGTCACGTGACCCGCGCATGCGCAGTGCTTAGCGCGCTACGAACCCGGCGACCCGAGTTCGATTCCCGCTCACGGCCACCACCGGTGACGATTATTTTAACCGGGTCCTGGGCCTCCCCTAGGTCGACTCAGCCTCAAAACGAGTAACTGGTGCGGTGTGTGAACATCGCCACTGGGGAGATAATGACGGCCGGGCGTGGTGGATCCAAGTCCCGGGCGAAGCCGGGTGGTCAAGCTAGTGGACAATAAAATCAACAAAGTCAACCTCGACATCGTTACGTAGTCGGCTACGTCATCAACACCACGTGGTTGGGGCGCGACACCCACCATCGCATGGACGCATTTGGTAAAATCTGCCCCCTGCAGAGTTACCGCGACCCCGGACAGCTCTCGCAAGCTAAGCAGGCGCTAAGCCTGGGTAAGCCGACTTGGACTCGAGTCGCCATGACCTCCGGATTATAAGACGCACGTGGCAACACCCCCCCCTCCAGTGGCGGCTCCTGCAAAATCTCTCAGGGGGGGCAAATGTCTGGATGATTGATAAGGATAAGGTCCACCCATGCAATGGATAAATTAACAGCTTAAGCATGTAAAGGCAACTTCACTTCTTTAATATTAATGAAAAATAAAGTGACTCTTACAATACATCTTGTTTGTTTCTATACTCACTATTATTACAATCCACTCAGTTTCTTTTATTAAAGATTCCACTAGGTGGCGACAAATAATATCGTTGACTGAAACGTGCTTACGTATGATGACGTAAGCACGTTAGGGCGAGCCCTCCCGGAAGCCATAGAGAATGCATTGCAGCGCCCCCGTTCGAAAAAAAAACATCTTTGAATGTAAGTCTATGGGAACACTCTGGGCGATTCTCAGCCGGAGTGAAATCGCCTAAAAAGAGGCGGTACTCCACAGAACGTGACATGACGCTGATTGGACTATATCCAGAGGCACAGTGACGGCTGAGATTGGTGGTGCGTCGCCCAATCGCCCTAATGAAGAAACCGCCCCTGCCCCCTCCCTCCCCCAAGTGTCCGGGGAATCCGCTCCCGTCTGGAAGACCCGCGGATGAATCTCGACTCCTCGTGGCTCTTCGATCTCGGCTCGTCTTTCTGGAGTCGTGGGAGCTCTTTTCTCTCGGAGGCGTCGACTGGGAGGTCGTGGGAGCTCCACAGGCGAAACGTGCGCTCCGCATTTCACAAAACGGTTTTTGGAAAATGTCAAATGACCACCCCCCCCCCCCCCCCCCACAAAGTTTGGGAGGGGTGGGGCGTTGTCTTACATCCCCGGAGCGACTTCGTATAAGAGCTCTTGAGTGAGTGGGTGGGCGAGTCGGTGAGCGAGTGGGTGAGTGGGTGGGCGAGTCGGTGAGCGTGTGGGTGGGTGAGCGGGTGGGTGGGTGAGCAAGCGAGTGGGTGAGTGGATGGGCAAGCGGGTGAGCGTGTCTGTGGGTGAGCCAGTGGGTGGGTGAGGGTGTGGGTGGGTGAGTAAGTGAGCATGTGGGTGGGTGAGCATGTGGGTGGGTGGGTGAGCGAGTGGATGAGTATGTGGGTGGGTGGGTGAGCGAGTGGATGAGCGGGTGGGTGAGCTGGTGGGTGAGAGTGTGGGTGGGCGGGTGGGTGAGCGAGTGGGTGGGTGAGTGAGCGTGTGGGTGAGTGAGTGGGCGGGTAGGTGAGTGAGCGTGTGGGTGGGCGGGTGGGTGAGCGTGTGGGTGAGCGAGTGGGTGGGTAGGTGGGTGGGTGGGTGAGCGAGTGGGTGGGTGGGTGAGCGAGTGGATGGGCGAGTGGGTGAGCGTGTGGGTGGGTGAGCGAGTGGGTGGGTGGGTGAGCGAGTGGGTGGGTGAGCGTGTGGGTGAGCGAGTGGGTGGGTAGGTGAGTGAGCGTGTGGGTGGGCGGGTGGATGAGTGAGTGGGTGGGTGAGTGAGCGTGTGGGTGAGCGAGTGGGTGAGTGAGCGGGTGGGTAGGTGAGTGAGCGTGTGGGTGGGTGGGTGAGCGAGTGGGTGGGTGAGCGAGTGGGTGAGCGTGTGAGCAGGTGGGTGAGCGAGCGAGTGGGTGGGTGAGCGAGTGGGTGAGTGGATGGGCGAATGGGTGAGCGTGTGGGTGGGTGAGTGAGTCGGCCACCTCGTGCCCCGGGCTGGCACGGCACCCCTTTCCCCGACTGTCGAGTCCGTTTCTATTTTTGTTTACCCCACGTGACGTCTTGCTGGCACACATCTGACGCTCACAGTGCCGCATGGCATGAATAGGCAACGTTACATTTAAACATTCTCAACAATGACCACGTGTGTACTGTACATTTAAATTATTTATGGTGTGTGTAGATCTTCTTGGTTCTTTCGGTAAAGTCACGTAGAAGGGAAATTTAAAAAAAAAACATAATAAATAATATAATATATTTTTCATTATGTTTTAGTTTTATTATTTTAATATAATATATGTTTTATTATGTTTTATTTTTATTATTTTATTCTGTCCCTTCTACGTGACTAATATATGTTTTATTATGTTTTATTTTTATTATTTTATTATTTCCCTTCTACGTGACTTTACCGAAAGAACCAAGAAGATGATTCCCTGCAGTCACGAAAGCTTTAAATCGGTGTGTAGAGTTTGTGTGCTTTCTCTCCCTGTTCCACCTGGAGTTTTTTATATAGCTGGGTTCTCCCCGTTTATTTCGCCCGAAGCTAAACCCACACCCACAGTGGAACTGCTATGGGCCAAAAACCACAATCATGAATACAAATGCCCTGCACATCACTTCACCGGGGTCTCGTAGCAGCAGAATCGTCCCCACTACAGGAACTGATCTGCTTATGAACTTTCAGAGATACGTACAAACTCGTCCTCATGTCCAGATGCCTGTTCGGACCGAGAGTCGTAAGTTCAGCCGTCACTCAAGAGATGGCGGTGGTGGCGTCTACATCTACAGAACGTGAAGAACCAGTGGCATCTACTTCTGCAGAACGTGAAGAACCAGTGGCAGCTACATCTACAGAACGTGAAGAACCAGTGGCATCTACTTCTGCAGAACGTGAAGAACCAGTGGCAGCTACATCTGCAGAACGTGAAGAACCAGTGGCAGCTACATCTGCAGAACGTGAAGAACCAGTGGCATCTACATCTGTAGAACGTGAAGAACCAGTGGCATCTACATCTACAGAACGTGAAGAACCAGTGGCATCTACATCTGCAGAACGTGAAGAACTAGTGGCATCTACATCTGCAGAAC